TATATGCCGAAGATTAGAGGTGTTACAAGAGAGTAACAAACATAAAGAGAAGGTAGGATAACTAAGGACAGTGATTGGTTGTTTTGTTTTGTTTTATAGGAAAGAAGGAGCAAACCACACCAGGGCACTCACCAACCGCCCACCCACTAAATGCTTATATCCTTCACCTTTTAAAATAGAGAAACATACTTCAGTTGGTTTTTGGTTTTTTAATTGAAATTTCGCTTTCAATCGCGCGTGGTGGTAAGTTGACACAGACAGCTTTCCCTGTTTTCACTGCTTAATGGGATTTTAATCAAATGGTCGACACTAGAACGAGTATTTAGTATGCAAAAGAGGTAGAATCATTGACTTTGCAGCAAGTGTCCCTGGTTCGAATCTCTATCCGAGTATGTTTAAGCTTCCGTATTTTTAATGGAGTTTTTATTATTTTCCATTATTCTTGTCGAATCAGTCCTTTCAGAAAAGGTTTTATCAATACATCTGTAGGTTCAGAAATGGAAATTAGCTCCACAGTACCGACCCAAATGACATAACAAGAGAACAGCTTTCTGCCTCCGTAAAAATGATCTACTCTACTACAAAGAGGCAAACATTTGGTCATCTTCGTAGGCATAACAAATTTTTCAGTTCGTGTCGTGTTTCATCAGTTTATCATGTGATCTTGGTTTCATTCTTTGAGTAGATATACAATTTATTCATTGTATAGATTACATTTTTGTTTTGGCGAACGTTTATCCAGACCCCCTTGCCCCCCCCCCCCACACTCTGTCTCCCTCACCCCGACTCAATTTCGATGAGGTTGAGTTTAAAGGAAAATTTGGCTAGCCCCAACTCAGTCAAATGAATTTGGTTGGTAATGTGCACTCGGTATTAAGTTAGTTAATTAACCATGACACTTGAAACCGTGATCGCAGCGTTGTTCAGCGGGTGTAATATTATAACAATGGGCAGTTAGGTTTAACATGCATAATATTACTTACTTTATTTCCGCTGTTAGCCAATGAGTTCGACAATATTTCTTGGCAACAGACTGTCAACATAAAGTGACGATCGATGTCAATGAAGGGCGACGCAGATCTATACTATTGAGCATTGAAAACGGTATGTTTAGAGTCAGCTGGTGGGTGGTTGGAGGGCGCTCTGGCTTGGTTTGCTCCATCTTTTCTATCAAACAGCTATCGTCATTATCTCCCCTTCTTGTTTTCTTTGTATGTTACTCTCTAGTAAGCCTCTAGTCTTCGGCTTTTATATAACCTAAAATTGTGTTGTAAGTGCCATAAAACATTTACTTTAAAGGGGTCTGACGATACTTTGATAATTATATTGATTACAAATAAATTCCACTGAGCAAGTTTAGGGTAATTATTCATATTCCATCTCCCATAATACAAGAGGTGACATATTTTGAGGGCTCTTAGCTGCCATTATCCGAAGTGCTCTTGGTCTTTTCACCCTTGATGTGAGAAGTGCGCTTGAAGTGCACATTTTACTGCTCTTATATTGAAGCAAAGTATGAAAGCGTGCAGTTGTGCATAGGCCCGTGCGCGCACGTGCATGTGTGTGTGTGTTTGTGTGTGTGTGTGTGTGTGTGTGTGTGTGT